CAGCAAAGCTAAGTACTCAAACTAATTCTGTTTAAATAGGGAATAAAATTCCCTACTAAAATGTCTCCTTAAAAATATCACATTTAATGTGATATTTTTAAGGAGACATTTTAGTTTAAATCCAATCAGGCAAATGGAAATTCGCTAAGTCTGCAGGTTTGCTGCAACGGGGTTTTGTTTTTACATCTACCCTGAAACATTCATTTTACGTCATCGAGATCTTATTTAAGTGTGTTTTTGTTTGAATTCTTATTCAATAGTGTTTTTAGCTAATTTGTTTTCAACCCTAAATTATTTCGAAATATCCATATTTCTTTAAACATGGATCTGGCATACACTTTATTTCACGTCTTCTTCTATATCGTATCGCGAAATTATAGTTATAAACTGTTCTAATTGAATGGAAAGTTATTGGGTATAAAATTTCCAAGCAATTAAAAATTAAACGGGTGGAGCCACCAATTAGCCCCTAGCTCCAGGCTGGGCGGCGTCCTCAGGTCGGGGTTTCCCTTGCTGGTCAGCGACCCCGCGTCATCCCCTCGCAGTGGACAGAAATACTCCCCTAGAGAGAGTGTTCACCCCGGAAATCCCATGAACAAGAGAAAAGCTACGTTTTTACTTTTTCCCCGACTCCTAGACGAGTATTCCATTCATTTTGCCTTGTGGGATTGATCAATAATGTGTTAGTTCAATAATGTGATTATGTTGTATGACTAGTTTTGGGTTTGGTATTTATATTTAGAGTTATCGTTGTGTTTTGTTACCTAATTGTGTTTCCTCTATTCATGTTCCTGAAACCACGGATCAAGAATAAATTAATGTGTTTAAGTTATTCTTGACGATTTGTGATTTGATGAAGTCATTTCAAAAATTCTGAAATTGAACGACTGATGCTCAGAAACTAGTAGTCTGTCAATAGATTGCAGATGTACGACGAAAAATTTAATTCCACTGATCACAAAAAAAGCCAGTAAACTTTTTGTTCATCTGGGCTAACAAATGAAAGATGGAATAGTTGCAGACATACAATAATAGATTAGATGCAAACTCTAAACAATCTACTCCTTGGCTGAGGTTGGAAAACAACATTACCCAAAGATGATGCAAATATGTGAAGAGATGAGTTCCAGGAAGTGTTGTCTACATTGCACCCCTGGCATGTACCAAGGGTGACAGGACAGGCAGTGACTCACTGCTAGAGATTGTGGTACATATGCACCTGACACCTGGGGGCTGGAAACTCTCCCCAAATACCCTCAGTAGATAGTGTAGCTTTATTTAAATTTGAATAAACGTTAGTCATTCTATTGGAATATTCCTACGTTTGCTGGTAATATTATTGATTATCGTTATTTATATTAACAAATTGATGGGGATGCAACCTTGGTGTAACCTAAACATAAGTGAGCGATAAGTTGATAATGATGAAAGTGATATTGGAAGTGCAAATAGTAATACTGGGTCCAATAATAATACCCCCTTAAAACTCGGAAGTCATAAGTTCTTTATTCCAAAATAACAAATTTAGTATTTAAATACAGTATGTTTGTTTATAGCTTCTTAAAATTCGTGTTAATCAAGTTCAAAATAACTATACTGTAGTCTATAAAGTATTGTTTAAAAAAGAATAAATACTTTCTACGGGCATGGAATCGGCAACAAGAAAAGATTAATAATAGCCTAATAAAATGGACGATTCGACAGTAAATAATTATTGACACAACTGTTGAGGTTAAATATCTCGGATAGTTTATGCTGAATAGACCATTATGCTAATCGTAATATAGTTTGTGTTTATTCATGTGTATATTTACAAAAAAAATTTTTTGCCGTAATTTCAGGCCTTGTTAAACTATTTGTTTTCTGGTTTTCTATTTTAACGGGTCCCTTTTCCCGTATTTGACAATTTTTGAGGATTAATCTTATTTTGTAAATACTTCTGATTGCGAGGACTTCCGGGAAGTTAGGCTTGATTTTGATAATTATTTCATGCAAAAGAATTAATAACACAAAAATATTCAATTGCCATCCTTAATTAGTTTGTGTTGGGGTTTAGTAGGAAGAATGAATTTTTAAATAGTTCTTCTATAATTATAATGTTTTCTATTACTCTTCCTTTTATCGTTACCTACTAAAATGTTATTCTTCAATATTTGCAGGCTATTACCATTAAGGGTAAATTATCTACGCTGAATGAAAATAACACAAACACTTTATTTTTGTTAGAACTTCTCCTCAAGTGTGTCTAATACCGGTTTACTCTATTATTCAATCATGTGTAATGACAAACAATCTTTTTTATATTGTACACTTGACAATATATACTAGAACAATCCCCGTATTTGGAAATCTTATTTTGCATTTTAAGGATTGCGAAAACTTCCAAATGTTAGTTTGTAAATCCAAGTCCAATAATTGGAACTTCCCGTGCAAATATTAGTGGCGTGATGTGCATATGTTTGGGGTGATATCAGGCCCAGGATATAGGAATGCAGGGTGGGGATATAGACGTGGAAGGGGTAGTTCTACTACGCTCTACTACAACCCCCCCCCCAATGGCCCCAATCAGTCATAACTAGTCACCGTCGCTAGTCAGTTCAGTGTAGTAGTGTTATTCTTAGTCAAGTGGTTGTGTTATTTTAAGATGTATTTTCCGTGCTTCACTGCCCATCACGACGATTCGGATACCTACATTTACTATGGATTTGACAACAAACTTCCCACCCCGCCTCCGAAAAGGTTTCGACGAACTAAGTCATTGTGAGTTTTAAAAATTGATTTGGTTTTATTGTGCTTGGGTTAAAATGTCCTTCTATTTATAGGGTTTATATAAATTCTTTATATTTTATATTCTATATTTATATATTTTATATTTAATTTATATTCTTCGCCAATGGCACTGATAGTCTACTATGACCGTGAAAAGAGACTAGCGTGATTTAAAAGTTTTTTTACAATGAAATTCTAAATTTACTTAAGGATTTATAGGGGTGCTTGATTCATATTAATGTAGGCTAGTGATTAGGCCCTAATATTAATATTTTACTATAATAAACTGTATCAGCAATCTGGCACATACTTTCTCCCATAAGCTTGTCAACAACCTTTATCATTGATAAGCTGTGGGAATAACTATGATAGTTGTAGAAATAGATCACAATAACTTTTAAACCGTAATTGTTAGGTACAGTGATGGGGGTTGCATTATTTTGTTTAGAATTATAAGTACCACAAAACATTAATTTTAACCAGAACCGGGGTTTTCCCAAAATCCTACTTTTTTGTGATTTTATGGGATTTGTAATGGGAAAATAACATAAGTTTCGATAACTTTTGAACCATAGGCCTAATTTTAACGGAAATGGGATTTGTACCATTTTGTTCAGAATATAAAGGGCTTTAACATACTAAATTCTCATTAAAATCGCTCGGGCCATTTACAAAAAAATTGGAGGTTTACTCTATTTTATGGTTTTTTTTTATGGGGAACCCCCATTAAAGATCAAAATAAAAAATAAATAAAAATAACTCCTGGAGATACCATGGATTAAGTAAGTAGGTACCTACATACCAAATTAGGCCTACATCAAAATCGGACTACAGGTGTGGTCTGTAGCTCTTGTACATCCACACATACAGACACACAGGCGTCACTTCGTAAACCACTTTTTTGGGTTCAGGGAGACCCAAAATGGATATATCCACTCAAAACTCAAACTCGTAAATTTTGACGAAAACAATAGGTATCTACTTTCCAATACTATGTATAGGGGGAGAAAGTAAAAATACACCTTATTACCCTACTTGTAGCAGCAAACTTAGAGGTACTCGTTAAACCTAATGTTATTTAAATTGGATTTGAGGCAAAATCTGAGAAAACGGAAGTATGCCTGCATATTTACTGGGGTGGGGGGTATTTATTTATATCATAATGGTAGATTAAATTCAATGCAATATTAATATCGGAAAAAAATCTATATTGAATCCGGTAATATGACCTGTTCTCAGTGGAACTGTAGGCCTAACTTACACCACATTGTAAATTACGTATACACATGTAAATGCAATTAAATAAGTGATAGGTACATTTTGTATGCCAGGTTATGCTCTACTAGGTTATAATATAGGGAAACATTGGTTTTCCCAATTTTGACCCTAAATCACAAAATTTCACAAATTCTTTCTAGGCCCTAAACCGTTTTGTTGAGCTTAAAAAAGAAAATTTTATGTTGAAGCGTTGTTAAATGCCTGACGGTTACGAAGATAGTTTAAAAAATTGTAAATTTATGATTTCCAAGCTATTCTTATAGAGAATAAATAAACTGTTGTAGTTTGCTTGTTTATGGATATACTAGGCAATCAATGTAGGCAATTTTTTTTCTTCATACTAAGCTATAAACATTTTAATAAAAAAAAACCACTCAATACCTTCCCTGTAGCAGCAAACCTAAGTATGTTCCTCATTAAAATTAATGTAATTTAGATAGGAAATAAATCTCACAATTGTTAGGGGAATATTTTAGTAGAAATCTAGCCAGGAAAATGGAAATCCGCTTAGTCTGCAGGTTTGCTGCGGCGGGGGTATTTTATAATGTCTCTGGGTAGCTGAGTGTTTATGGTAGGCTACTAAGTTGGCAATCAAAAGGTTAGCTCCTGAGAAAAGCCAGTAAGTTTGGTATGAAACTCGTCCAATCTGGCGTTTTATTGTAGTTTTAATAAATAATCTTGGCTTTAGAAACAAATAATTTGTCAGCAACAAAGCTATGCAGATCGATTAATCTCTTTTATGTCCTAGGACGCTAGGCTCTAGCCTAGAATCGGTTTTGTGATTACTTCAGCTAGACATACGGGTTGCAGTGTTATTATTACTTATATTAAATCCATCCCATTGATTTGGCAATATCCTGGGTTCTATTACAGCAACCCCCCACCCTCTTCCTATCATGATCACATTAGATGTGTTCTGTATCAGTTAGTGTAATGTATCATATTTGTTGCAGGACGCAGGCTGCCAGGGACTTGTGGTGGAACACTCTGCAGGATGTTCTCAACAAGGAGCGAGACAAGGAGCCGAGGTCCACCAACATACAAGTTACCTACTACGACCTCTCTACCGCCATTGAATATGTAAGTCAAACAGCATCAGTGTCATGCTGCAAAAATACATTTGTTAGGTTATCATGGATTTTACAGCTCCGTTCTTCTATCCACTAAAGCTCCTCTGCAGTACATGTTTAATTTAGGTTATCAATGGTTTTGCAGCTCTATTTTCTCCTTCGTGCCAATAAGCCTCTTCCTTTCTCAACCCTAAATAAAGTCTCGACTTGCAGTAGAAGTTTTCAATTTTATCATTAAGTCCTCTTGAATGGTTTCTGGCTCTTGATTTTTCAGCAAGATCTTTCTCTTTACTATCTATTGATCTATGTGCGATGATCAAGTGTTAGAATATAATCTGCAAAATAGATCAGAGTAAATAAACTGATCACTATGAAATGGAAGTGAGACCTGTTTCAGAAAAAAACTATGGTCAAAATTGAGATAAGTATGCTCAAGAATTTGCTTCCCTAAAACACATAATTAGGTTAGTTTTTTTAAACGAAAAAATCCTCCACATCATGTTCCACTTGATGAAAATGATCGATTTCAAGTCTTGCAAACTATTTTGTGGTCTTTCAGCAAAACAGACTCAACCACAACATACATCACAAATTTGAGTCAAATATGGTGTACTTTATTTGTGTTTGTATTTGACCACAACCGTGTGTTTGCAGTGTAAGACGTTCAGTGTCGGGCCTGATGAGACGGCCAGGGACTGTATCCGTCTCGCCCTGGAGCACCTTGAGATGAGGGGGTTGGACGCCTCACAGTTTCAGCTCTGGGCCAAGACTGCGAGGGAGGAGTCGCCATACCCTCTGGTGGGTCATGAACGTCCCTTTGCCATCAAGCTGAGCTGTCTGCGTGACGGACTGAGCAGCGAGGAGGGCTTTGACCTAGACCACTGCAACAACTTGCACGACCCTCTGGCAAGGTGTCACTTCATTCTCAGGTACGCTTACTGGTTCTTTAATATGTTGTAGCCTGTTGAATGTCTTAGTGTCTTGTTACCTTCTTGTAATAGTCTCAGAGTATTTCGGTACTTAGTCCGTTAAAAAAAGCAGTATCACTTGAATAATCTGAAATTTTGGATTAAAATTATTGAATCAGTTAATAAGTTTTAACAGTAAATTTGAGAATCCTTGTATATAATACTTGAAGGCGATTTCTACAAAACACTACTCCTCCATTAATAATGGACGGATTTTTACAAACGATGTGTCAAAATGAAGTATTGTTTGTGGAGATGCCCCCTTTCACCAACTCCTGTTATAAAAGTCCTTGAACTTTGCCCCACAGGCCATCAAAATCCCAATGTATTTCTTATGGATAAAAGATTTTGTTTACTTAAACGGACAAATAAATTGTATTAATTAGGCCTACAGCTGTTCATAGTAAACACACGATACACACAAAAGCATTCGTTTTCAGTTTTGATAACTGGAGTGGAGTGATTGATTACATTATCTTTGAGTTGACTCTTTTAAGTTATCGGAAATTATGACTGTTATTCGTTTTGAAATAACGCCCGCAATACTTTGCAATTGCTCGAATTTGAGCAACAGATGCACTAGTCTTGTATATTATTCATTCGGTTTCCTGAAAGATACGATACAATTGTTTTAATTGTGTTTACCAATTACAATCTACGTTATTGGTCTTTCCAAAGTCTATTATTACTATTTATTGTCATAGGTAGCTATCATCACTTGTAGACACTTTTTGGCCACAATTTTATTTATATTCTTCAGAGGAATAAATAAGTTAAGACAATACTTGTTTTTTTATAGGAGTACGGCTAAGTCTTGTGATGGAGAGGTGAAGAAGTCCTGCAAGAAGGCCGGAGGTCGGATGAGGATCGGCCATGTCTTCCGCAGAAGCCTTAGCAAGGAGAGTTCAGGATGCCTTTTTGGTCTTCCGCTCACCAAGATTTGTGAGGGTGACAGCTTGCCAAGGCCTGTAATGGTAAGTGTAACAAAACTTGTTATGCTTTGTCGCTTTCGACCTTTTCAAGTGGTGTAACGTTTTGAGTTTTTTGTGTTTTTTATCCAGGTATACCCGCACTCTCAACAGACTTTTTTCAAACCCATGTTTTGCTGCTTTATGTTAGGCACATAAAGGTACATGTTTGCTCTCATTCAAACTGATAATGTTGTCAGCACTTCATTTTTAGGGAATTTCAAACTACTCTCTTTTAGCTCAATCTAACATTATGGTAGTGCCTTCTGTGGAGGCCAATTGAGCAGGGCCGATTTACCAAATAGGCACGGTAGACACGTGCCTAGGGTGCGAGGCAATTGGCTTTTTTGGGGGAAAAGATTGGTTTGTATTTGCATGATCACGGTAAACTTCTAATAATCCATTGCGACCATGTAGACATAATAACCTACTCCCGCGATTGAGGCAAAATTCTGACTATTTTCCTGCGGTCGTCTGGACGTTAATATAGTCTCATATTGTCTCCCATGGTCACGGAAACGTCACTGTTGCCATTAGCGATGGCGGTAAATTGAAAATACCAGATGGATATACAAAATTCAAGCATAATTCTCAGATTTCCTGGTCAGTGGACACTCTGTATGTATATTTCAAAGGGGCACAACTATTAGTTGTGCTTCGGACACTGACAGGGTCAAAAATGGGCCTGCAATTGAGTTGTACATTTGGTCTGCATTAGTAAACTCTTTCTTGACATCAAACTCAACGATAGAAAATAGAATGATGCATGAATGAGGAATTAAGTATCACAGTAGTACCACAGTACCTATTCCACATATAATAATGCGTTATTATTTAATGTATTTTTAAACTTCTTCTGAAGGTTATACCAACTTTTATTGGTATTGATTGCTCTAACAATTACATATGTTTACAGTCCATGCTGCAGCAGCTGTTAGCCAAGGGTCCGTTCACTCAAGGCATTTTCCGCAAGTCAGCTAACGCGCGGATGGTGCGAGAGTTGCGGGACAAGCTGGACGCAGGGGAGGCTGTCACATGGGACCACGTCCCGGTGTTGGTCACTGCGGCTCTGTTCAAGGACTTCCTGCGCTCTCTGCCCGATCCTCTACTGTGCTCTTCACTCTACCCGCAGTGGAGGGACGCGATAGACACTTCCAACACCCACCACAAACTGCTCAAGATCAAAGGGTAAGTGATTGACTTTGCTAAGGAATTCCTAGCTGTTGAATGAAATTTATTAGGGGATAACAATTATTTCACGTAATCACATAAGAAACACTTTTTATTAACCTTGAATTCATAATTATATATGTGTTCAGTTTCTCACCTTATAAAAATATTTATGTACTTTAGTTTTTTATCTCATTTGATGAGTTCTCAGTAAAAACTTTCTAATGTGTTGTGATGTTCATTTCAAATTGCCCAAAGGCGTTTAGAAAAAAATGCAAGCAAAATCGAACCCATACAGTAACATAAACAATATACTTTCACAATTACATATTTGTCACCAATTTTACGTGGCCCATTTAGTTAGTTATCTGAAGTGTGACGATTTTGTTGAGAAAGTTTGTTTGTCCGCAGCATCCTAGCTCAGCTGCCGAAGGTGAATCACTCGCTGCTGTGCCACTTCCTGTGCGTGCTGCATCATATCTCGCGCCGAGCGCCTCACAACCTCATGTCCACCAGTAACCTCGGTGTGTGTGTCGGCCCCTCGCTGTTGTGGAGTGACGCCATGTGTGTCACCGAGGATCTGAGAGCTGTCCCCGTCCTGGTCGAGTGTCTGGTGTCGCATTGTCAGGTGTTGTGCGGATCTCATGTACCCCACCTGCTCGGCGACCCTCGTGACAGCGGCACTGAGGAGAGCGACTGTGAGTTGTGTTTGATCTCTTTTTGGTATGGGTTTCTTGATTTTTACAATTTTTAAACCCCCTACATGTAGACGGCTTTGTTACTAGTCAACAGGTTTGTGGGGTTATCCAGCGTGACAGTAAAGTAATGTTATAGTTTTTGTCATATGGGTATGGGTAGTAGTGATTAGTTAGGCATCTTGAGCTATTTGGTTGATCACCATCAGACACTACCTATTCCAAGTTACTGTGCAGTAAAACTATTAGATCTGGGTCTGGAAATGTTATGATTTCATGAATGATGCACAGGCATTAGTGATTTTCAAAGATCTATAAACACCATACATTTATTATTATGTGTTGGTTTGGTTAACCAACATACACCGATGAAGGTGTTTTTAACATTTTTTTTTAGAGGAATAAGAGACTTATCTGCCCAAGATTTGCAACTCTGATATGATTTTCACCCTGCATACTTCCTCTTTTGTTCTTGTACGTGTTTACATGTCTCATAGATCGCTGTCTCATTGTTTCAGCCATGAGACGGGATGACTCGTCCATAGACAGCCTGGAGTGTAGTCCGCCGCCTCGCAAAGACAAGATCTCTTTGTCTCGAGACTCTGGCCTCACCATGTCAGACTCTCAGCTGTATACTCCGGACGAGGAGGAAAGTGGCTCCACTAGTTCCAGTGGTTATGACCCAGCCTTCGACAACCATGCCAAGGTACGTATCCTAGTGTATTACTAGGTCTTAATGGTGGATTACAGTTTTGACTGGTTCTGGTTAAATTGTTTTTATTTTAAATTTTCACGATATTATCAATTTTCAGTTTTTTGTTCTTGTTACCAGGTTAAATACCTATTACCAACCTTTTTGTAGATATCCAAATGATGATAGATATCTGGGTCCAGGATCGAGCCTTTTTTAGGATCAAACCAGCAATCTCTTGACTATTTGAAGGTTAAGCACCCACTCGGCTAACTGAGATATTTTTTTTAATTTTTTAACTTGAAGAGAATTTTATTATGAAGTTCTTAAGGGCATTTTTTAGCAGATTGCACTATTTTCAAATGATACTGTAATAGGCCTATATGGTCCGTTGAATATTTTCTCAGCTAAGAGTTTTACTTTTGAAATTAGTTGAATAATGGTACATTGTTATTGTTTTGCTTAATCGTTTGAAGATAACTTGCAGCATTCTCTTTTGTAGGAAAGAATAGTACAATATTGTTTGTGTATATAAAAAACAAGTAACTAATAGTGACATGGTGTTTTGCAGGTAACATCCACAATGTCTGGTCCGGCTGAGTACGTGAGGGTTTACGGAGGCTGGGAGGAGAGACTCAACCCAAACTTCCAGCGACAGGCTTGGTTCCGCCAGCGCTCCAGACGACTCAGCTCTGTACCCAACAACTCCAAGACTGAGGAAGCAGTGAGAAGAAGTGCCTCCGAGGAGTCGCTGCTAGACACTCCCCCTCCACCCACCCCTCCGCGCCGCAACAAGCCTGACATGAATGGCAATCGGACTGAAGTCACTGGGAAGAGTTCCCCCAAGGAGCCTATGATGTATGCAGACGACAAGTTTGGAAGGCATCCACCTCTGAGGAAAGTGACGGCTGTTCATTGTGAGGTTGTGGATCAAACTCCGAGATCAAGGTATAAAGACCCACATTCCCCCATTTATGGAGTGAACGGTGTGAAGAAGTTGTCCCTGAGTAGTGCAGAGTTGAACTTCAGTCCATCCAAATCTGAGCAGAGTTTTGTGTCGAGAGATGGCAACTACTCTCCACAGAGGATACAGGAGATATACTCTCCCATCAAGTCGGATCAAAGCTTTAACAGGATCGAACATTCCTACAGCTCGTCCAGTCTGCTCAACCACTCTAACACGAGTAGATCCTCCGACTCAAACACCATCTCGGACCACAGTACCTACAGCTCACCCAAGGTCGGGGACAAGGTCGTGTTGGGCTTCGGATCCGGAGATTACTACTACGCTTTGAAAGAAAATGAAGAAGTGCATAATTCAGAGTGTGATGATTCAAGTACTCTTTCAGACGATGACTGCACACCTCACGTCTCCAGATCAAACTCACGAGGGAACGAGGTGACGACGAAACTGCGTCATCTACCTCCTGTACACGTCGAGACTTGTTTTGTCCGAGGGAGACTGAAGCGCAAGGAAGAGAGAGCTGCTCACAGGTCACGATCACTTCCCCCACCACCACCTTACAGGCCTCCGCCCCCCGCCACGCCTGCTACACAGAACCGCCGAGCCCCCATCACATCGTACTACCTGGGGGACTGCAGCCAGTCACAACGTTACATCGTCACAAGAACTTTCATGGACGAAGAGTCTTACGTCTGACATTAGTTGAGAAATGGTGCATTGGCTCCATGAAGTTCACCACGTTTAACCCGGTAATGTTTTGTATTGTGGACATAGTAACTGAGCAAGTCATGTTTATAACCTAATCTTTAACTGTTTTCACTGATTGTAATGAAAATGCAAACCAAACTTTTTTCAAAGAGCAAGTAGTTTTCCTTAGTTTTTGTTCTATTTATAACAAGCTATAAATATGTTTGTTTTATTCATTTTCATTCGAAGGAGTCATTTTGTAAATACATTCTGAAATGCTCAACTCGTTAAGTTTTCAGTTATTTAGTATTTTAATGACAGGAAGTATCTTTGCTTATTAAGTCTTAGGTACTATAATGAACATCTCAAGACTGCGTATTATACATATAAATTCAGATTTGTGTCATTTCTATTTGTACATTTTGATTTGGTGTTTGATGTTACCTTTATAATGATTTTAAGCTAATTTAGGTTTCTTACCTTAGTATATGTTTAAATTCGCTGTATAGTAATTGAATTGCAGGCACGACTACTTAACAATTGCGTTTCAGTTATGGTTCTTTTCATCCATGTCGTTATTTAATTTTTTCTTTAATCTCAACAAAGGAGGTTTTCTTTTTAATGAGTCAAGTCAGGAATATTTGACATGTTGAAATGATAACAAAACGAAGCGACTGGCTACATGACATGGAACAGCATCGGGACTATGAAATTATAATTGTTATTTGTTACGTCATTTTCTACGAAGTAATACAAGTTTATATTAATGATAATGTACAAATATAAGATAAATATTTAGTCTTCCAGTTAGTGTTGACCAAGATCTGTGATTCAGATGTAAATAGTTTAGTGTAAATCAAATAGTCTATGAGTTAATTACCAAATTACAATTGTAAATGACAAATGTTTGGCCATATTATACACGGCTTGTTTTTATATTAAGAACATTGTGTATAATGTATTTTTGAAACTTGTAAATATGACAGTCACTAGTTAAGCGTTACAATAAGAAATTTGTTTTTTTGTTATGTGAAAGATTAAATTCATATATTCTGCAAACTCAATATGTGTTATGAATTATTCCTGTTTTTGGGGTTGTTAAGGCCGGTATTACACTATCATAGTTCTATGACATATTATATTATCAAATATATGATAATATGTTCTCTCAAGGAGAACATATTATCATAGTTCAAAACCATTATAATAGTTGGTACATTACACTGTAATAATTTTCATCAAAGGCATATGATAATAGATATATGTCATAGAACTATGATAGTGTAATACGGGCCTAAGCAACTTCTCTCACATAAGTAGCAAAATATCTTCTTGAAGTATAGATTTGTCCAAGTATAGATTTGTCCAAGTATAGATTTGTTTTGTCCCCTTGTTACCAGCAGCAAATATTAAATTTCATTCTGTGCACTGAATTTTCATATATGAAAATCATGCCATGACAGTTAACAATAAAGCCAAGCAAATAACCATTCGATAGAAGTGAATACAGCAAAAGGAAGGCTAGAACAATCAACTTAGGAGAGAAATCACAATGTTTTATTTTACACAAACATTTTTGGGATTAGACTACTAGCCTTTACATTGTAATCAAGAGAGAAATGTTTACGCACTAGCCATAGGCAAATGTGGAAAGTTTGTCAATATATTTTTCCTTCAGTTATTTATAAGACATAGAAATAATTAGTCTTTTAAACACTATACAACACGTTTTAGTTTGGGTTAAATTCAAGCGCTTAACGAAATGGGAAACACTGCAACAGGTGATCGTAGTCGTAGTACCTTTAAGTGTTGCAAACCTATTTCCAAGCGTGCATAATAAAAACATCCTGTTTTGTGTTGTTTGGTTGGAATACTATAGGTCGGCCGCTTAGAAAGCGACCTCCTCCAGCATTGGTTTAGCATTAGCGCGCAGGTTGTTTTCTAAGCGGCCGAACGTGTGCGACAAGGTAAAAACTGTGCGACAAAGTAAGTAATTGCAGCAATTAGCAGCTTTATGTACTATAATCAGTGCAAGGAAACCCATTTAACTCTTTCAAGCACAGTGTTACATTTATGTAACAGACTTTTTGACTTCTTTGCTGCACGGTGTTACATCTTTGTAACACAAGACATTTTATTTTTTGTAAACGAGACTACTAGCGCTATGCATCTAGAAACTTTAAATGTTAGTACTATGGACCTTTCCAAGGTGGCAGCACCATCCATTTGTTTACATTCTGACAAATAACTCCTAGAAAACAGCTGTTCCTGGTGAAAGACTCGTGCCCAAGATCCCGTCTTTATTTTTATGCAAATGGAAGATACAGTATGTTGTTATTGATTATATAATTCCTATGCTGTTTTTGTAATGTACTGTTATAATAGCGTCCCTTGTAATAGTTTAGAGTCATAAAATCAGTAAACTAATTATTTTGAGTTTTCAAAGTGTGTTACTCAAATGTAACACCATGCAGCTCAGCGTTCCAAATCAAAGATGCACATCTACACACCTTAACGAACATTTCGGTATATAATATGTGGGGTTAAATCTTAAAACAAAAAGCCTTATTGTTCACAAAGTTTCGTGTCGCGTATTAAATATATAGATAGATAGATAATATAGATTATACTATTGCCACTATTATTCACTAGTTTGCTTGTGCATCATGTTTGGTTTTGGAAAAAAAATCCTGTGTCTATGTCTAACTTCTCTTCTCTTTTTGATTATCAATTCAATATTACCTTCTTATGGCCGAAACAAGTGTTTTACAGACTTAAGACACAGTTTTGCAGACGATCTGAGAATTCATGATTCTTAAAAAATCTACAAATTATCATCAAATTACGTAGCAATTTCTGTCTTTAAAAAATTAGGAAAATCAGAGCCAACATAGATTTGAGATAAATATATTTACATCGACTTGTCAATACCTAATTTTGTTGCCAGTGTACAATAATATATTACTTTTACCTAAACATTAGGCAGTAAAACATACATTTTTGAACATTCAAACACAAGTTTCATGACTTGACTTAAATAACAATTAGAAACAAATACTAAAGTAATTAAAGCAGCAGACAAAGAGTGGTCCACTATTTTGGTTTTGTGCCTCCAACACCTGAAACAGAAGAAAAATGAAGGAATAAAATCAAAATCATTAAAATGTAATAAAACCAGTATGTGGAAAAGATGCAAGTCGTTTTACCAGTTAACGCATGCTATACAATAGACATGACAGAAACTAAGAAAAGAATCAGAGGTATTATGCAGGTGAACATCTCAAAATAGGCAATTAACAACACTCTCGATTAATTGCACCTTTTGTTTGATTTTTTTACTTTGGCCAGCCTTGCCAAATGTCATCATGTTACCAAATGTTTTATTTAATGATTATGTCCCCTATGTTTTAATTTTTCTTGTGACAATACAGTAGTCTCCTTCCTATACAGACTCCAAGGGACTGAGGCCAGTCCGGAAAGCGGGTTTTCTGTTTAAACCAATGACCCCAAAAATATTTTACTAACCCACATATTTTACTTAAATTTTGAGAGCATTCCATTTAGACATGTGATCACTGATCTCAAATATTTCCCACGATAAAAGTCGTTTCAGCACCCCCACTTCCGTCCAGTCTGGTTGAACCGATGAGCTAATAAAAATTGTCCAGTTTAAGAGATGCCTCTTCTGCAGATTGGAGTCCGGATAAACGGTGGCCGTATGAGAGTAAGTCTACTGTATGTTTTTTTTACAAATCTTATAACGAGGTTTTAAAAAGCAATTGCATGCATTGTATGATTAAACCTATGCAAATACAAAATTAGTTATCTTACAACAGATAATTGATTGACAAGGACAAAAGATACTCTACATAGCCTCCTCTAACACAAGGCAGCGGTTTTGGTGTGTGGCAACGTCATGCCTATTGCCATGGTAATAACAGAAATAACAAAAGTGTCAACATAAACATTTCTTATACTGTCCATTATAAATTAGTACAACAGCTGTTTCGGTTTGACGGGAAAGCGGTGTTGCCACTTTTGTCTTGCTGCGGCCTTGTATTAGAGAAGGTTATGACTCTACTTATATTATAGTCGTACCTGACGAGTGCTAGCTGTGTTGGTGTTCCCTGTCATGGTTGGTCTGTTGTTGTTGCGCTGCGATGGCCAGCCACTGTTGCTTGTTGGCCAACACACCGTCCAGCAATGGCTGCAACTTGTCACTCAATTCGGCGAATGACTGTAAGGAAACATATTACTAATATTAAATTATTACTAGCCTACTCACTTTACACTAACAATTCATAGTCCACTTATTCAGTACAACAGTTCATTATTTGCAAATAAAATCTTTTATGTAATTGGTCTACACTACACATAAATTGTTTAAGGAAAACCAATTGGCTGATTAAAATTTGTTTAAAGTAATTGACAAAAAGGTTGAACAACGAAACACTGGTGTAGGATTTCTCTAGAGAACAGAAAAACATACTACATTCAAAAGTCCTGTATCAAGACAATATACTAGTGTTGAATTCTGAAATTTTTTCTAATAGTGTATGGAGACTCTCAGGTAAGCTGGCAGAAATCAAGCTCTCCACATAGGCAAGCACAAATTGCCATTATACAGGGTTATTAAATCAAAGAAAAGAGGTTCATGTTCAGCTTTAAAACTGATACAACCTGTACACATTGCAAATACACAAAAATCTAGGTTAAAATATTGAGTTTAGTTTTTCTTGACAATCTTGTAAAAATATTATTTTGATCCCAAACAGTGTTGTGAGCTTTAAAAAATTATAATTAGTTGTAAATTCACCATCCAGTAATTTTACTTAAAGTTTGAAATCATAAAGTAAAATCAATTTTATCCATTTATTTTATTTCTAACAATGTTTGGTGATGAAGAAACCAACCTGATAAATAGGAAGGCAGATGGAGTCAATGAAGCCAACCTGCATGAGGGGTAGTTGGTCTTCTTTCTCTCGGTTCATTATGTCCTGAAATCAACATTTAAATTTACATCGTGAAACAACTCACTTCTATACAAACACCATTTACCTGCATTGTTTACGTGTAGGTGCAACAATTTTATTTCATGGAAATAAAACTTTGTATGTATGGAAAACTGTAAGAATGAACTTCAAACATAAAACAAGTGTTTCTGTGTTAGTGGGATGTGCTACAACAGTAAACTAAATCACTCATAATCTTGGATAAAGTAGGAGGAATACAGACATTTTTCATGCCGTAGATTTATGATTTTAAACAACAGGTACGGGCTACTTTTAAAAAGAAGGCTCGAGAAAGCAATTGGTTTAAAACTAAACATTAAAATCCAATTGAAAATATTCTTGGGAGTATTTTAAACAACAGAATTTGCCTGATAAGACACAGAAATAATGGAGACATTTTAACATAATTAAAAAATGAAAAATTCAATGTGCAGGCTTATTTGTTTACCAATGATCAAAAGGATTCAATGAATCAATCACATTATTTTAAATCAAGCATAATCATGATATTATCTGTTTCATAGCTTGATGTTCTCACAACATAGCATATGAGTCGTACGTCCATCCAAACAACCCTTGGGGGCTCTAGGATAGATTCTCTTGGAAAAAATGAGAATTCCCGAGCATTTTACTATTTTGAGTTTCATTTACCCCCCCCAACCCCAAATACTGCCCTCAAGGTCACCTTTACCTTCCCTCATATCATTGCATATAGCTTTTTGTGGTGATCGATTTAAACTTAAAAGCATCAACAACTAAATCTGCCCTTTGAAGCACCACTAACAGACACAAATGAAAAAAGAAAAAAACCCAATTTAAATTTCTATGAGATATAAAACTTGTAAACAAAAATTGTAGCAAAACAAAATGATAAAAGTTCAGACAAAAGTACAATTTCATTACATTCGTTGCATCAAAAATGTAATTAGTTTGTTTCTTCTCTGATATTTTAAACTATAAAAGATAATGAACCATAAAATATAAGGGGGAAATACTTTAAAACTTACAATTGGTGTGATATTGAGCTCCTGACGTTCAATGTCTCCTTGCTCAAAAAACTCACTCGTAACCAAGTCAGCAACCTGCAAAATGAAAAGATACATTACAACCAAAGATCTTTTTCTAAACCAGTGATCATGTATTTAAATACAATATATCTGATATTTTGTGTTAACATTAACCATCCCAAAAGTGTCTAGTTTTACTATTTTTACATAATAATACTTGTTGGCTTTATAAACATTCTTAATTTTAAGAGCTGAGTTTTAGGGGATGTAAGTTTAACAGAAAAACCCGTTATCTGGACTTGCCGAGATACTGGAGAATTGGAGAGGGAATCGACTGTACCCCAAATTTGTCAAAAAATGTTGACAAAATTTGTACACCACTATTATTCTATACACTTAATGGTTTCTGTGCATGGAGAAGTTTTTGAATTGTAATTTTGATCTCAAAAAACGATTAAGTGTCTAATTTGTACACTTTTCCTACTTACCCTTTTCTCGATGGCCCAAGGCTTGGTGATGGCCGCCAGATCACACACTGTCATAGTCATGCCTCTCAGCAACTCACGGTGATCTTCTCTGTGCCAGTTGTACGACCGAGACTGAACCAGCGACAGAAACGCACCACGCTTCCTACAAACATACTGTGTTTTAAACTACTTTTCAAAATTCCTTCATAAAACTACCTGCACAATCTTACTTGTCCACAAGCTAGTAACAAGCGGTGTTGAATGTATTTTGTAAACTGTGTCTCTTTTTAACTGAAACTGATATCTCTCTTCAATCTACTTAGAAGAAGTCATATATTAAGACGAAATATCAATCTTAAGTTTTGAGATAAAAAGTTAGTATTTAATGATAAAAACAGTGAGATTTGGTATGATCTGAAAACCAAATAAGAAGTACCCAAACACCAATGAAAGGACCCTATAAAAATAACTTAAAATTGTTTTCCAATTCAATTTCTTGGTTCCCCAAAACGTGTGGTTTTGAGGAAGCATCAATCCTCAATCAATACTTTGTGACTTTGGATTCAATACCAATTCCACAATATAAGTTGTTATCCTACTTGTATATGAAATTATTTAAAATTACTAAATTGGACATTTCCTGTGATTGCAGTAAAATAGTCAATATTTCACATTAGCCAGATTAGCAGTAACATAACATGTATCTTCTGTATGATCATAGTGATACTAAAAATGTTAGATGACTCTTTGCAGCATTTTCCTGCTATTTCGGTAATATAGCGATATTCCTGACCACAAAGATCCTAAAATGATTCATTTGTTTGTATAAGTATGCAAAAGAACTTGTTAATGGACCCTTGCTTGCAAGTTACCTGAAGTAGACAGCCAGATCTGTGGACAAGATGGCGTCCTCCAGAACTTTGATGACCCTGGAGTACTCATCAGGAGACAAATTGCCTAGAATCTGGTTACCCTGCAAACAAAGAAAGCATTTAAAAAATAAAATTTGGTCCTGTTGTTTAGTTGTATTGATTAAAAATTGTGCAAGAACGTAATCTATAACTGCTTGTAAACAGGAGGCGAAACAGTTTATGAAAATGAATTTCAAACAGGTACCTTTTATTATGATTGTAACCTGATTGAGCTAGGTGTACTATCAAAAAATTTAATTAATTATAAACTAGTAGTTTTATTCACTTAGTAACTGTCTGAAATAACATAATCTTGGAAAGATAAAACGGTATTGTATGTATCGTTTTGCCTTGTAAACAAGTTTTGAACTTATTGAAATGCGCAATTTGCGTACCGGTCCCCTCGTAACACTTATTGAGTTATGAAAAAATGTGTTTTAATTATTTTTTGCTAGTAAAATTCCTCTTACACACGGACCAGTTCAGTTAATACATTTTTTGCTTGGTACATGGGAGATGTTACTGCTTATTTTATTTTCAACCAAAGATTGACTTCCCCACCTGGCTGTTGAGGATCATGAGGCATTGGTCGAAGTGATGGTGCTCCATTGTGGAGGTGGAGTACAGCTGAGCGAGGGGCGAAGAAGCTCTGAAAACATATGTCACTAGTTAGTAGCTCGCCAAGCAGTCAAGAGATCAATAGTTTGATTCCGAGAGATGTCAGTAGCTCCCTCACATCCCTTGATAAGCCTTATTAACGTTTTAGATATTCTTGTGTTTTAGTAAACTGGTATGGACATTATTTTATTAAAAACATGTTGGTTTAATAAATAGCCCCACTGAACAATGTAGCAAATGACAAAAGTAAATTTTTTTCAGAAAACAAAACCTTGTGGCAAGGCCACGCAAAATTAACACGCCTTAATGCTCCTATGGCATGACGTCATCATAGGCGACGGCAATGATGTAATGTTTGTTGTTTGTGATCAGCTGCTTGTTTTAATCTTTTCTTGGAAAACAAAAATATAGATAAAAAATAACTTTACATCATTGCCGTCGTCTATAATGATGTCATGCCTGAGGAGCATTACGGCCTCTTTATTTAGTGTTTCCTTGGTTGTGGCCAGGACATAATATTTCCAGAATTTTTTTTTCAAAAATGTTTTTTAATGGTCACAAAAACAGCTCAAAGGATTTTGGTCAAGATTTAGTATGTTATGGTCCTTTCAACTCTAAACAAAATGGTACAACCCCCAATGTTGTAAACATGGTTCAAAAGCTGTTGCAATTTTTTTATATTTTTCATAGATACTTCCACCGCTTACCCATAATATGGGTTGTTGACAAGCTCATGGGAAGTTTGTGTATATTGCTGTTTAATTAAACTAGTTAGTGGGAAACTAATTAGTGGGTCAAAAGCTGCTTACTTGATCTGGAAGGAGTTGTTGGTCCCCCGATGGTCAAGATCGTGACACAAACAAGCGATGATAAGCGCCATACACTCAATCTCCCCGAATATCTTCCACCATTGGGTCGCCTGTCAACATCAACATCAACCCTTTGTTAATGGTTTCTTTAGGTTATTGATATCAAAGTTTAGATCTAAAGCAACCTAACTTCATTTGGATATATTAAGGTGCAAGTTTAATCAACAAAAGCTAAACATACATTGATTATTTAATGTTGAAAAAAAAAAATCTAAACACATAAAATCCTACCAATCACAAGAGAATGTAACTCACGGTGATTATAGAGAACATCATCTGAGCGACGTTGAACGCGTGTCGCCAGTTGTGGTAGATGACGTTGCGGTAGTTCTTCTTGACAGAGAGAAGCCACCGACAAAGCACCTCGTAGTCTATATGAAACCTTTCCACAAAGTCCAGGTCCAGGAACATACGTAAGCAAGCCTGCAATCAAAACTGGCATAAGATACTCACATAGACCACAGAGGAAACTTGCTTATGGGACGACCATGCGCTTTCAGCTCTAGTGTGTTGTGCGGGAAATATACTTGTAACGAGCAGAGCGGCAAGCAATGTACAGCAATTAGGTTCCTATCGCACAGGGCACAGGGTCTTCTTACACCGTGACCATTGAAGTACAAGGGGGTGTGTTGGACTTTGCCCTAGACACCACTTCAAGTGTACCATTGAATGTTTCCTCTGTACCTTACTTCTCTGTGGATAGACTTGTATAAAATATTTTTTTTTAAGTATATACATGCAAAACCATATTCTTTTGGCTTTTGGATTCAAGGAATGTGCTAGTATTTAGTTATATTTCCTCTTTTTGTTTTTCATACTATTTTGTTAATAGGATAGTAAAAGCGGCCACACTATCATTCACAAAAGTAGCTCTTTAAGTTTGGCTTGATTAAAAAGTTGACATACAACGTAAATGAGTAGTAGACAGCAGTACACTAGCTACAGTTAACTTGTAAATGTGATGTACACTTGTATCCACAGTCAAAGCTATAATTCTTGGATTTCAACTAGTAAATACAAACTCAAATCAACAAAAAAACTTACTTTAAGAGTGTCATCGTCATCCATGTGGATGTCGTCAAACTTGAAGTCATGCAGGTTGAAGTTTTGTGCGGCTGGTATCCTCAAACTCTGAAAGAAAATAATTTGAACTAAAAAAAATCATTTTGCTTACATTTTCTAGTATAACAAATACATCTATTTAATTACTTATGCAATAAAGTTAAATTTTCGTTCCTCCCAGTACAAATTTTTAGTACAATACTGTCCGTCACAATGGGCCTACATCATATGAGCGAGTCCATGTTTCAGTTTAGAGTTTTTGATCAAGCTTTTTGTTTACACTTGTAAAGTCAAACAACCATATGATGTAGGGATGGACGGGTCCCGAAATTTCGGGAATTTTTCGGGAAAAAAATATTCCCGATTATCGGGACGGGATTACATTTGATTCGGGAATTTTTCGGGACGGGATTTGGTCCGATCGCCGGCGATTTTGCCGCTTTGCGAGTGCCGGTGACGCCACTATTACGAGCGATCGTGCCGTGACCGTGGAGTCATAACGACGATCGCGCCGTGACCGTGATTATTGGACCGACGATCGCGCCGTGACCGCGGAGCCATACCGACAATCACGCCATGACCGCGGAGCCATAGCGACGATCACGCCGTGACTGCGGAGCCATACCGACAATCACGCCGTGACCGCGGAGTCATGACCACGATCGCGCCGTGACCGCAATTATTGGACCGACAATCGCGCCACGACCGCGATACCGACAATCACGCCGTGACCGCCGAGTCATAACGACGATCGCGCCATGACCGCGATTATTGGACCGATGATCGCGCCGTGACCGCGGAGTCATAACGATAATCACGCCGTGACCACGGAGTCATACCGACGATCGCGCAGTGACCGCGAGTCATACCGACGATCACCCCGTGACCGCGAGTCATACCGACGATCACCCTGTGACCGCGAGTCATACCGACAATCACCCCGTGACCGCGGAGTCATAACAACAATCACGCCGTGACCACTGAGTCATACCGACGATCGCGCATTGACCGAGAGTCATACCGACGATCACCCCGTGACCGCGGAGTCATACCGACGATCGCGCCGTGACCGTGAGTCATACCGATGATCATGCCGTGACCGCGAGTCATACCGACAATCACCCCGTGACCTGGAGTCATACCGACGATCACCCCGTTATTTTGACGATCACACCGTGACCGCGAGTCACAAGTTTCTGTAGGTACCTGTAAATTGTTACCCATTTTTTGGTTTTTATAGATCAGTGCCACAAACGGTAAAGATTGATTTTGTATGCCTTTTTTGGTAACTGCAATACTCAAGACTTACTTTTTATGCATAGAAAAAAATCCCGTCCCGTCCCGGCCCAAAAATTGGGAAGGAAATGAAAATCCCGTCCCGTCCCGTTCCGAACTAAAAATTCAATCCCGTCCATCCCTAATATGATGGTAATAAAAGCCTTAAATTTATCATATCGAGACATATGTCATGTGCTGAGTGTATGCGTGCAATGAAACTAATCAAGCGGATTTGATTTGTTTTCTGAACTAATGTAACATGTGATTGTTACCATTGGAACTGTTTTAAATGTTGGCAAGTACGGTAAACCCATCATAATGATACTGCAGTTCAGGGACTTTTACAAATTACAATCAATTTCAATGTGCATAAAACATGTTCAATTTTCAACTCTTTTTAGTACCAAACTTTTAAAATTCGTTCAATGATTTTATTTTTTAAAGGTCCCTTGATAATAAAATGATCCCTAACTTCACTGTATAAATTTTTGGCCCCTTATACTGTGGTAAATTTAAACAATATTGTGTAGGTTCACAGATAAGTAAGATACAGAGGAAACATTCAATGGTACACTTAAGTCGTGTCTAGCACCAGTCGCTTGTGTCTAGTGCAAATTGTATTTGTCACCCCCTTCCGCTCTCCTATTCCCTCTCACCAACACGTAACTACAGCGTTCACGCTGTAGGAAGAGCCTGTGCGCTACAACATTCGGGCTCTTCCTTGCTCGGTGCTGGCATATTTCCGCCCCACCATTCCAGAGCTAAAAGTTGTTCCATAAGCATGTTTCCTCTGTACTTTACTTCTCTGTAATGGGTTTTAGTGACTTTTACCGCCTAGATTTATTCAATTGTACTACAATGCTGTTCAGTATTACAATTGTGAATTATGTAATTACCCTGAGTCTTTGAGCCTCCTCTAGAGTGGCGGACGCATGATAGCTGAGAACCTCTAGCGTCACGCTCTGCTTGGCCATGGCAATCATTGCCTTCTCATACCTGCACAAACACGGCAACTATAGTAGTGAACAAGCTCCCGTAAACCTAAGGGTTTCTTGTCCTAAAATGCTATGTTCTAGCTCAGGATCGTTTTTCACATTACTTCAGGCTAGACTTAGGGGTTGCTGCATTATCAGTTTGGCGGGATTTGAACCTGAGACCTCAGACATCGAAGTTCTTATGCTCTACCACTAAACCAGCTTGCTCCTTGAGCCTAAGAGTTGAGCCAGCTGTTGTTCACAGATGCTGAAGTTGGTCCCTATATTACTGCTTGACTGAACTCACACTTGCGAGCTCAATAGTGACAAGTAATAATTTGTAAAACGCAGTATTGTGGTTTTTCTAAAACATTTCTGTTAATTTGATACCAAATTTCAGAAAATCAATCAAAACTAACTTATTTCATTCCCCTGCTTGTTAAGAACGTAGATGTGAGTATAGATAAGAATTTTCATGATAATTAACTATTGACTTTTCTGTATCATTAGAGGGTCATCACAAAAGAGAAACTCAGATATTTTTTTTCACAGTTTAAGTTACTTTAGATAAAAATAGAATTCAATATTTACAAAAAACTTTCCCCATCATTATTGGTTTATTACATTTCAATTAGTTAAAATAATCTTCTGGCATTTTTCCTATCCGTTGTTAAAACCAATTCAAAAATTTTCCCCCTTAAAATAATAGCATGACCAATTGGATTACATAATCATAATAAATTAATGTAAAATATTTCATAAAAAAATATTACAACATTTTGTAGGTGTTGACTTACATGTGAGTATTGTGAATTCCCATTCCACAAAATATTGCGAAGGCCTCCACAAAGTTTTCATCATTCTTTGTAAAAGGAAGGTCGTCAAATTTGTTGATTAGCTAGAAATATAAAATAATAAAAATAACATTTAGAATATCATTTGCAGTACTAAAACTTAATTTTCCTGTTAAAAATCAGGATTAATTCAGTTCAACAAACATAATATTACATGTCATGTTTCGGATTTTTACCAAACAAAACTATTACTTAGAAAAATAAGAAAATTTTGTTTTAAAATTCATTTGGTTTACATCTTATTTCTGATAGTCCCACAAAAACTAAAAATAAATTATGTATAGTTAAGGGGAGCTAGGCGAAAAGGACGGGTATTTGTTATAATAATAAAATTTAATTAGAGGTTTTGATGGTATTGTCTTTGATGATCTTGGAAATTCTTAAAACAACAGTTTATAGTTAAGATTTGTTAAAAATAAAAATAAATCAAGTGTTGTTCGTTCAATTCCCTTTCACGGATTAATTAATTCTAAAGTAAATAGTCTTAATCCCAAGAATACCGATGATTTCATCCAAATCACCCTTTGAATTCAAGCGAATACAATTTGAATTTCCTTTGCGTCTTGTTTTCACAATTACCATTATAAGGCAAAAGGGCAATCTCTGACTATTGCCGGTTTAAATTTGGAAAATGCATACTTTTCACACGGACAGCTGTATGTTATGTAATATAAATATTCAATTTTAGTTTTTGGTATACATTTTTATTATTTATCGTACAAAAAATTACCATTTAAAATAATAGTTATTAGCGCAGCAACGCACGCCGGGTATTTTTTCATAAACTTGATACTCACTTGTATAACACCGATAATTTGTCCAGAAGAGTTCTTTATCGGCATGCAGAGAATGGTTTTGTGCTTGAAGACCGTTCCTTCGTCAACTGAAGGATCGAACCGCTCGTCCTGATAGGCATTTGGAATGTTGACAGTCTGCAAAACAACACTGAAATGAATTTATATCAGCTTAACACACAACACATCTGGTGGTAACAGTACATAGGGTCGATATTTGACTAGAATAGCATATAAAATTGTAAAATTCAAGCTGGAAGATGAAAAAAACTGCTTTACAACAAAAACTGTCAATACAACAAAGAAAAGAGTATTGGTTTAGGCAAAGTCAGACCTTGCTTTACACTGTCCTGGTTTTTACAATTTACTAAAGAAACAAACAAAAAAAATAAATCCATGTTGCACTTTAATTTAGTTAAGTATTTATTTTAAGAAAAATAAAATTACTATGCTTGATTCTGTTTTATTTACAGTACCAAAATAACATCAGTTAAAACCTTAACTCTCCCCTAGTTTGCCAATAAAATGGAAATATTTTTAAATGGAAAAATATATTTTTACTTCTTCTTACTCTTTTATACACAAAATAAAAAATAGCTTATGTCTTCTTAGTGGCTAAATAATTTGTTTACTAAAAAATATGTGCGGATATATCCGTTCCCCAACTTGGCAAACAGCAAAAGTTTATACAATCACTGATACAAAGTGGTTACGCTGTTCTGGGAGATTTTAAATGAAAAAGAACATTATGTGATCAAACTAAACTATTTCCGTGTGCTGGAAAGATTTTCACATAAAAAAGTATGTGTTTAGCATAGGAAGTGTGTTATGTGGAAGAAATGTCCGCTTCCTGCCAGCAATATGTACAATCATTATTCAGCGATATCCGTCACTTGTCCTTCAACGTAAAAAAACCGGATATAAGAGCATCTGGAAAAGGTTAAAATTAGTTAAAAAGAAATTCAAAATTCATTGTTAAAAAGGGGTGGTCTATAATTCTTGCTTCATTCACCACTTTGCTGTGAACGTCTGAGACGTTCATATTTCAAGTTATATACTTTTAGTACATAACATCCATGAGCGAATTAATCTCAACAAAGCTAAGCGCTCACTGGGTCAGGACGCCATGGACGGTACATTTTTTCACTACAGGGTTTTTTTCATAAATGTTTAGCATTGATTGGCCTATGTTTGTACGCACTAGGCAATCACAGTCGGGACATGACCAACCGCAGTCCAAAAGAAAGTTCTGAAAAAGATGTCTAGGACATCCCAACGGGTTGTACCGATGAGTCATCTGCCGCCTTGGTGCCGTCTACAGTGTGCGCAAGTGTTTCGGTTCGGACAGTACGGTTTTCTGCCTTGTCATCACGTAGTTTTCAGCACAAATGCTAGGAGGAGACTGTAAAGGGATCTATCGTCCGTCTGTCCATAACCGACCAATCCAGACGGTGCACCCTGCTAAAAAATTGTGGAAGGACCCTGTACTAAGCTGTACAAGTGAATACGCAAGAGGGTCGAGTATCTGATATAGAGATATGAAGACTGCTACATACCTCACCTGTAGTGGCTACATAACCGGTGATGCCGACGTTGATGGGAAACCTACTCTCAAACGGACTGAAACAAGCACAAAAATGTCACTAACTTCACCCAGGGGGGTTGACCAGGGGGGTTGATTGGGGGATGCCCCCCCCCACAAATACCAGATTAAACCCTTTTATTAGGCCTGAATGTTCTTAGGTGTTACATTTTACCGGGTGGGAGGGGGATAGCCCACCCCTAAAATTAAATCCTGAGACCACCACTGGACATATCTCAATGAAAAATTATTTCTTTCTACTGTAAAAATAAATTGTATTTTAACCTAAATTTGATTACAATGTTTACTTGATTAACCCTTTCAGTGCTATGAAACGATATATCGTTGTTTTAAAAAATCTCTAAGGGATATAGAGAGTGTTATATATTCAAGAAGAGTTATTTATGTTATATTATATAGAGGCAAGTTGACCTCATCAAATAGTTTAAATGTTAACTTATCGGGCCTGGTGAAGGAACCAATCCAGGATGAGTCATTCGGTCAAAGTCCAAGAGGCTGACTAGCCGATCGAGGAGGGACAGTGACGGAACGCCATTCGACGTTATGAACCCGGTGAGTAAAGTCAACTCGTACGCTTACAGTGTTAGTAGCCTAGTCTGCCAGTGTCCTGTACTTGTCCGGTTCTGTTCATTTCCAACGTCCGAGTCATAAAAGAGAGGAAGGTTATTTTAACAAAAAATAGCAAAACGGCCATTGGTGACTTGCATGTTCATAGGATACACTATCAACCACTTAGCTAAAAGATTCGCCCAATCCGATGATTTCGAGGTGTATGTCTAAACCAAGGATTATGAACACCTCACTATGCCCCAGTGGTTGTAGTATATCGCTACAAACACACAGGTCACCAATTATTTGCCACACAGGACGGGATTCGAACCCGAGCAGACGAATGCCACTGGCCAAGTGACACACGCCCTAGCCTTCTCGGCTATCTGTGCTTGAAGACTGGGGAGTCAAAACCCAGTATTTAAGCTGTCGCCACCGATTGCGAACAGATGGCGCTGCAGATGGTTGTTCAATGCATTACTAGGTAGCAGCACCAGTTAGTCACGGACTATTTAGATGCAATCTTTTAGTTTAAACACAACAGTGATCATAAATGTGTTCCTGAGACTTTGCTGCAAAACATTAGTTTCCCTAAAATGGCTATATTACGATAACCTCGTCCAACTAAATCAAGGTTAAATTCAATATTACATAGTAAACTATATGTCTTTTGATTTTATGAGATTTTGGTTTCAAATAATGCTATCAGAACATACAAATTTATAGGAAAACCAGGAAAATTACAACAAAAACTAAGTTTTATTTAATGTTTACTACAAATAGCGGGATTTATCTTTCTTATATATTTTCTTATTGTGTTATTATTCAAAATTAGCCTAATTAATAAAATAGTGTCAAGATGACAGTTAAAATTCAACAACAGGTAATAGAATTAAAAGGCAAACAAAAAAGTCTTACAAAATATGAATTATTGGCCTAGCACTGAAAGGGTTAACAAATGTTTATGTTTTTGTTACTATAACAACCATTCAATTAAAGCAGGCAATTTCCAGAGAGTGACCAGGCACTCAGAAAAGATATTAAATTGAATAATAGTTGGATGTGCATATCAGAGAATGAAACAATATGATGTACGTCAAAAGAGAAATTTGTGATAAATGAAAATTTTCAGATCATTAATAAAATTTCTGTCTTTTAAACTAAATATACTCTAAATATATAATGTACTCAAAATATAATTACATTTTCAAATAGCTGATACCTCTATTTTTCCAATCACATGCAAGAATAAATAAAAAAGATGTGAGCTCCTACTAAGAACTTAAGTACATTAAAACTAAATTTGAAAAACGAAGTAGTGGAATTACAATGAGAATATGTACTGATCACATCTTTAGAAAGATATTTTTTCCAAGAAGATGGACATTTAATATGAGGTTGGCTCTGAATCATGACATTATTTACATAGCTATTAATCAGCAAATAACAGGATTAGAACTTAAGGCCTTCATGACACAAGTCTGGAGTTCTAACCACTAGACACTAGACAGCCACTCCTCACACAAACAGGTACTAAGCTTGTTTTATCAAGTGTTGATAACTGATTACAGGGTGTCTACCAGATTTCTCAAATGGAATTCCCGACTTTTTCTCGACTTTTCATTACCATTTTTTTCAAATCCCGACCAAAAACTCGGTCCATTCTGCAAGTTACTACACCTTTTTTCCGTATCGCAGTCACGATACCATTGTCAACATGTTGTTACTTGGGTCGTGACGAAGTCACCGACAATCTGAACCAATCACGTGCCGAGAAAATCCCGGATCAAATGTAGGGGTGTGCGAAGCCGCAAAAAATGTTCCATTCGAATCGATGCAACTTGATTTGAAGCAATAAGGCATTTTTCTATTTATTGTCAATGGAGTGAAATATTTGTTTACAATCATATATAAGAAGAACCAATATTGCTGAAAATGTCAGTAGGCTGCTTGTCTATTTCTTGCAGAGCATAATACTGTGATACATGTTACCTATTTTATATTATTGATTTTACAAATAAAGATATTATGTTTTGGTGTAAACAAATTGTGACGAAAAATTCTAGGGGGGAATAAACTAGTATTCACCAAGTCAGGCTAGGCCTACCCCTAGAACCGGCCACACTCAAATTTCTTCCCCGGAGTGCTCAGAAGGAGCTGAGAAAAATCCAGGGGTCGATACGAAGTTGTCACGGCTTTGACTGATCAATTTATTTAAAATTTAATCGAAGGCTCAGAGCTCAGGAAACGTTCAGGAAATCCTGCAGACGCTCAGTTGGAGCTATATATCATCCTTACCTTCGTTAAAGTGTTTTGTTAAATTTTGCCTAACCTTTGGAATGACTCTGTAGGGCCGACGAGTATTCAATCTTAAGCCAATGTGATATAAATAAATACTCGTATTAAACTGTAAACTATCTGGCTAAGGACGTTGGTAAATAATATAATATCGAATATAATGTAAAAGAGCAATTCCTACAGAGTCGTCGGGGCCTAATTAATATAATTGGACGGAGAATTTATCGTGATACGTTTAAAACAAATTTAATATAATATTCGTGGCTGATTGTTCAAATCAGCCTACTCCCAAGACTAGGTTCTTTCGCCCGCCCAAGACGGGGTTTAGAACTCAGACGACAAGTCTCGGGGTATTAAATCGGCGAATTAATTAGAATAAACGGACGTAATAATCATTCGTAGAAATCGTAATTTTGAAACCAGTTGATCTAAATCAAACCAAACGATAATCACCGCTAGTCACTGGCAGGCAGGAACTGGCGGGTCTAGAATCAAGTCGGCGAAATTTAAGTTATTAAATTTAGAGGTTTAAAATCGAGTTCTGAAACGAAAATAGTCGTAAAACAAGAATGCGTGCGTTAAACGAAAATAAAGAAAAACGTAGAAATGGTCTAACTATTAGAATAGCTAACCTTCGTAATATCGGCGATCGGCGGGAACGCGTAAGTAGTCTTGTAACGATGATGTTACTTCGTAGACGGCGTGTTAACGAATAAACCTGTCTTGGAGTAAAATCCTTTGTTCCTGCCCGCTCGAGGCTTACGCGCTCAAGCGGCCAACTCAAGTACTACTAGACAACAGCTGATCGCAAATTCACTTGTTGAGCTGGTCTAGTTTCGTCTGTCGACAAATAAACATCAGTTTGGGGTTATGTCGTCGGCGGCGTTGAATATCTGTAAAATCGGTCGGTTTAACTTTATTATGTGAAACGAAGTGCTATTATGAATGAATATGTAGTTGTGGATGTGTTTGTGTACTTCACTGTGAATAAAAACAGGCCTACGTTCTTTGGCCCATAGCCCAAGCTATGGCCAACACATAGGCCTAGGAGTAGGCTATTGTGGTTAAAAATCGGGTAAGTTCTGGTGTTCATTTATTCGTAGTACGTTTTTACCCCCCTTAAAATTTGGTACCTTACAAAATAAAAATCATTATAAGATTTATACTGAATCCTTCAATTGGTTTACATTGACAAAATAAGAGGATAGAATCAGAACTACAAGGTATACATAACTTAGGCTAAGCTATATCTCAGTGATTGCCATGTACTTGGATGGTAATAACTTGTATGGCTAAGCAATCTTTCAGTGAATAACTTATATAATTAAAATTAATGTCAATAATTTGAATGATGTCAATAAAAGTTATATGGATACTGTTAGTCAAAGTAACGAACGGTATCAATGTAACCTTAAATTACTTATATGGATACTGATACAATAACGTATTATGGATACTATAGTTCGGCCGCTTAGAAAGCGACCTCCTCCAGCATTGGTTTAGCATTAACGCGCAGGTCGTTTTCTAAGCGGCCGAACTATAGTGATGTGTCCATACCAAAACTTATCAAGATACCGATACCTGAAACAATAGATTTTTATTGTTTTACCAAAATGTCTTAATGAATTGGTCATACTACACCAACCCATGTGTTACGGGACGCATTCATTCCTAATTTGGACTGGTTAAATTATTCCCGACCTTCGGCCGAAATTCATGACTTTTTTACGACTTTTCCCAGTCTCTCAAAATCCCCGACTTTTTCCCGAATTTTCCGGGATTCCTGACTGGTAGACACCCTGCTGAATCATTTTATAGATAAATAAAAAAAACACTGGGTTCAATGGATTACATTTTATGCTGTCACCTTGTTCGCTCGTCAGGTTCATCTCCCTCCAAGTCAGAGGCTTCAAAGTCAAAGACCCGTGAGAAACTGCTTCCTTGAGAGGCTTTGTGGAGGAGGAGCACCTGTCATAACAAACAAAGGCGGGTCAAGTGTGTGGAATGTTAGGTTAGGTGAGATGGTAAAAATTATGTTAGTTATCAAATGGAAAAATGAAATTTTGAAAAGTTGTATCGCTTGACTTGAAACTTAAATACATTCAAGTACTCGCCTACCTCTAGTTATAGACCAGCAGCTAATCAGCAATTAAAGCAATCATGGGATTTGTAGCGGTTGTAGGGGTGCCCAGTAGTTAAACAATTACAATTAAACTAATGCAAGTTTTAGCTAACGTCAAGACAACATGTAGGATTCAAACAAAATATTTGTTAAAGTTTTTGTATTCAATCTGTGTGTCATTTTCCCTTAATGATTTGGGCTTTGACTTTTGTATATTTAAAATGAGTCTGAAACCATTGACTTTTATTTAGTTAAGTTCTATCAATAGTGGAAGCTGAAACTTAAGAAAATGTAAAAGTTAAGGAGTGTTTTGTGGGCAGAGTTTTATTTTTTTTAAGAAGTTGGTGTCCTTTTTTAACCTTTGCCTGTCCACATAGGCGTGAAATGTATCCAGCAAAGCAAGGGGTGAGCCGGTACAGTACAGGGGTGAACTATACTGATGATAGTAGTGGGAGTGACCAGGATCCTAACCCAAGACATTGCTGCCTTGGGTCCGAAGTCCATGGCACTACAGACTGGGCCGCCGACTCACCAGTTTTTAGGTTAGCTATTATCTTTGACTATTATATCTCTGAAACTGCCTATTCCAATACATGGCTTATGGATGCTCCGGTAGGCATTGTGAAGCTAAATGGATATAGCAAGTAGCAACATTTAATACATTTAGAACTAACTTGAATAAATATATTCTTAAGATAAATACAAAATCGTACCTGCACCCTATGGCATTGGATGAGTGATTGAGTGTGAGTTAGTATCCTGAACACCATATGCTCTATTGTGCTCTGCTCCTCAAATATCATCCTGGCCAAGTCTAACAGCACCTGGAAAACAAATCATTGTGTGTCAGAAAACTAACTTGTTCACATTCTACCTATACAATTAAGGCCATATTCCACATTCCTAAATAAAGTTGTGGGGAAATGAGAAGAATTGAGTTCTGTTGTTTCAGCACTTCATAAAAGTTCTAAAAACAAATATGGAGTTGCATAGTCTGTAAAAAATCAAAAATAGCAATATCGTCATCCACAGGGTGTTTCCTAGATTTTCAAAGTAAAATCCTTCTTTTTCCTGACTTATTAGAGTATGTAATGAAAATTCAACATCCAAAAAGTGTTTTTCATTGATACAAAAGGTAGTGAAACATGTTTAAACTAAATAGTTCAAACCATCATTTAGCACTGAATGTTTACCAAATCAAGAATCTTCTGTTACAACAATTTTAGCTGCCCCTACACCAGTTTCTTCCTATTTTCTTGGGACTGATATTCATACATTACACACTAAAAATATGTAAACTTAATACGAAAAACAAGTTCAAACATTAATAAGTGCTCAAGAAAATTTTACAAAGCTAACTATTTGTACATCTTGTTTATCTACTACTGAAAACTAACTTATTTAAGAAAATAGCTTTGAAAGTTCTGATTCAGTTTAAGTTAATAGTAAAAAATCTAAATTTTTACTCTTTTTTTACAAGACAGTAGCATACAAACCTGATTCCGTTTCACTTCTAGCTGACTCTTCTCATACAGTTGGGCGTTCCTCAGTCCGATGCCGCAGAATTGCAGATAGCTGGAGAACACCTTCTCATCATTCAGCGTGAAACTTGAGTCTCCCTGCTTGTTGATAACCTACAAAGATAAGCTTCTCAGTACCACCTTCTTAACAACATGATACCTTTGACTATTAATACCCAATAGTCAATGATTATACCCTAAAAAAGTTCAGTCATATTAAAAATGTTGTTTTCATGGTATAAAAAGAGTCTGTTTCAAGTTCTTAGACTCAAGACACACTGAAACTGGCACACAACACACAGAAACTTCATCCCAGTGTAAGAATTATTCAGAGATTTTTCCAAGGACTCTGGATTCCATCGGACTCCAATAAAAGCCAGCCATGATTCTTTAAATTACTTATATTTTTTGCAAGAGAAACTTAAGTCATACAATAATCCTCTCATAGTCATACAACGGATTTAAATTAAATAAATATGTTTTTAATTTGATTTAAAACCCAAAGTTATTAGATTCCCTTTCAACCTATGTTGTATCTTACCTGGGCGACACCTATAACTTCTCCATTACAGTCTTTGATAGGCATACACAGTAACGTTCTCGTCTTGTATCCCGTTCTCACATCAATGTCATGGTTAAACCTTCCATCCTGAACAGAAGAGACATTCTGTTACAGTTAAACAGTAAATAATAGTTAGGCCTTAAAAATAAAAACTTTTAGAACTATACCACTTCAACTTTTATACACTTAACAGTGTTTGGTGCAAAGTAATGTATGGCTAAAATTTAAAAAAGAATAGCATTGTCAATTCACTGTCCAATGAAAAAACCTTATCGTGCTGCTTTTACAAAGTGATTTCCAAATTCACAAAGTGACAGTAGTCGTTTTCTGCGGTCTGCTATAATATTAGTACCTGAGTACTAGCACTCCACGGTGCCTATTATGAATGTAGCATTGCGCTTCCCTTACTAACATTGCCCACTAAATCCAACCATACCAAATGGTATGATAAACCTAAACGTTCACCAACAAACCTTGTAAGCGTCGGGTATATTGACAGGTTCACCACTCTCCGCCACGTATCCCACAATCCCCGTACCCCATGGTATCCGAATCTCCTCCTTCTTCTCCATCTCCTGCAGCGTGGAGCGGGAGCAGACGTCGAATAGTTTGCTGACAAGGCAGCGCGACTGACAGCCGTAGTGGTTGTTGTTGCGGTGGTGGCCGTACTGCGTCGTGTGCGACATTGGGTGACACTCTGGCGTGGATATTGAGCCGGTGTTGGTTGACCCGATGACCGGGGACCCGACCACCACAGAGCCGGAGTTGGGGCTAATGATGGTGGCTGGACAACCTGCAGGGAAATAGATGAATAGTGAAGAACTGGTTAAACACATTTTTAGGCCAGATCACATTAATATAGAATAACTTAAATAACCTTTTTATAAGTTGCTCTGCTTTCTTTTTAGAATGAGGAGTAATGATATTATCATTATAGCGGTTATAATTACACAATAACAAACGTTGTATTGTACCATTGACTTTCAATACTGAAGTAGGCATCTCTAAGTGCCAGGTGCTATTTTTTTCAAACAGATCTTAGCTGATGTAATGTATTTGACAGAAATCAGTAATTGACAACATCATACCTCGGTGGCTTAGTTCCACTAAATTCATTTTTGCAACAACATAGGAATGGAATGTCTACTAATCCTAATCTCCGTAGTCAGAAGTTTAACTGACACATTTGGATTAAAACTATTGACATCGAAAATTATAACCAACGATCAAAACCTACATAGTGAAATTTACACTTAAGTTCACTTAAGTGAATGATACAACTTGTTTCGGCATCAACAAACTCAAACACCATTACGTACATCAAATTGATTTCAGATTTCAAATTGAAAATACACCTACAGCCTCAAAAGTCAATGATATCACTACCAAATAATTAAACTGTATCTTACCAGAGTCCGAATGAGGTGAAGGAGACTTTGAACCGACAGGATGTTCTTCAATACTGATGCAGCCGACAGGCCGGATGTGGTTGGTAATACTGATCTTGCGGCGGGGGGTGGGTGTGGGGACAGGTGGGGCGACGGGGGCTGGCTTCTCCCCCTGCACTAGGAACAACGAGCCTCGGTCTGCGTGCAACAACGTGCTCACATTCTGTAGGATCTTGTGGCACAGAGAGCGAACGTCCAGCTCGTTGCATATATCCTTCACCTGGTGACATTTATTGGTTAGTCAATTTTCATATGGTCTTTTCAAGTGGCTTCTACTACAATATGTCCTATTGAAATGAAGGTGATGATAATGAGAAATAGTCAATGTAGACAGAAAGTACCGTTTACTAACATTTCAAAAGAAAAAAAAAACCCCACCTAACCTAAGGGTTAGTTTTTTTTTTCAATGAAAGGCTCTAGATGAGGATTTTTAATTGTGGAATTAAGAGGTTACCTTACCTTAGAAGCAGTGGTGTAGTCGTAAATTTTCCAGTGTGGCCACACTCATCATTGTCAGGGAAAAATATGGGTCGCTTACCAATACAGTATAGGTTCATTGCAAAAACAGAGTGGGTATGCGTTCCCACGTGCCACTACACCACTACTTAGAAGAAGTCAGGTAGGCTAACACACAGAAGACACATAAAACACAATAATTTGTTCCCTAGAAGACTTTGTCAAGTGTACAGAAAGAGAAGGAGGGTAACCTTAACCCCTTCCTCTTCCTCTACATTTGACGATGTCCCCCAGGGGATAAAACATTGTGTGTTTTAATATCTTCTGTGTGTTCAAGGCCCAACTGTAATTCTTCTACAGTAAGCTAGCTGCTTTTCTCTTTATTTTAACCTAAAGACTGCCAATTAAGTGTTTTCACACATCTCTTCATAGCATGTTGTTCAGCCCGCAAGTAAATAAATGTAATGAAGGTATATAGAGAATAAATACTACAGCTCCATCTCTCTTCTCAATTCAATACTAAGCAGTGCTGCCGAACATGACAACTTTGAAGATCCATTCAACCGGTCAACTGAAGAGGCATGTCATATCCCGTCCACTTCCACTCACTATGCAGTAAGTTATGCTTTTGTTTTGTAAGGTCCAATAATGTTTCCATCAGTATGCCTGCTTGTCAATACTCTTTAACTTGTTCAAATATCTTAACTGCAAATTTAATAGTGGCACCCAATTCTGGAAAATTTGCTTCTCATTTTCTAACAATATTTTTGTCACCTACTTACAATTTTCAAAGAAGCTTTTTTTTATACATGAAAGCTTTCAATAAAATTACACTTTGTTCGTTATGATAAAAATCGTATCACTAATGCACAACTTTAAATGAGGTAAGGGAAAACACTTTTGGAACTATGGCACAGGGCATACACCTGCTTGAGGAAAAGCTCATAGACAGGATAATACTGTTCACCAACCAACTGATGTTTTATGGGCTCTAAGGATTCAAGAGGAGAGTAAAAATCTTACATTTGACTGACGTACCTAAGGACAAGGACTGCTCCAACTCAGTCAATTAATAATCAATCGATTTACAATTGGCAGGATAGTACATTTCATCATCTATTTAATTTAATTTAATTTGTATTTTATCTTGGCTAAACAAACAAAAAAAGAAACATGTTACTTTCTGAACAGCCAGAGGTATGAAGACAGTAATATTTCAAAAACATTTGGTCAGCAAGAATTCATGACTCACCAACTCGAAAATGAGTTCCTTCTCGTCCAGGTGACGTAGGTCGTGCTGTGACCGCCGCTGGGGTCGCTGCTGAGCCGTACAGTTGTTACCGTCGGACAAGAAGGTGGGGGTGCCGTCGATGGTGTTAACGATCGGCTTCAGCAGTCCACCCCGCTCAAACTCATGAGCAGATATCTTGCGGACAGGAGTGGTGGCACCTGACGGAGTGCGTGGTGGAGGTGTGGCCCCCATCTCACCTCCACAGCCCCGCTCCTGTTGAGAGGCCGAGGAGTGACTCAGCAGCCAAGCATCAACCACTTGTCTGGTTGCTTTCCTGTACACAATAAAACTCTATTGTATTCATCAGAAATACACTAAAATAAAACATTTAATGCAAAGAGGTCTTGGAAAGTGTTCATAAGAGTCCTGTGAGATTGCAACTGATTCTGACGTCTGCTTAAGTTTTGGGAGTCGAAAAACTATATACATTTTGCACATTATTCAAATATTTTTTTTGTGCAGTAAATGATGTTTCAATTGGTGTTAAATGGGTCAAAATTGGTTGAGCCATTTAGCCGCTGTAGCTTTTCAAAGTTGGGCTATTTTCACCAACATGGCTAAAAAATGTATTCTTGGTTCAGTTTACAGCTTACAGCTCCTAAACGACACCCTATACAAAAAAATGTTTTTGCAAACCTCAATAAGAAGTGAATCTTAATAATAAGTCTTCTTTGATAATCCCTATGAGTCGTGTCATTGAAGTTCTACTGTTTCCAGGTTCCATTGAGGTTTTGATAAAAAGTATAATGAGGAAGTTGTGTTCAACCCATTTACAACCTAACAGTTAGAGAATCAGCTTTGTTAAAAAAACATTTCTTTAAATTGACATCATGTTACTTTACTTAGTCAACCCTAGTCCTAGTGGCGTACCTTAGGAAGTAGTCCTGTACAAAGTCCTGGTGCTCGTCAAGCCAAGCCTCCATCCGAGCGTACTCCGTGTCATAGCTCTTGTAGTCGGCATCGCCTCCTGGCGGGGCCACAGGGTTGGTCTCCGCTGTCATCCTCACACTCAACTCCTCTGCGGCGCCCCGCACATGCAATCCTGAAACATCCATCCCTCGTCAGTCATCAGTTAACATTTCACATCCCTCATCAATCATCAATCATGACGACAGTCTGATCTGGACACACCTAATTTTGTGAAAACAATCTTTCAAAGATACTATTGTACCTAATATTTGCATTAGTAGGTTGACTATACTATACACAGATTAGACTTGCCATGTAATGTAAAAATCTGAGGCCAAAAGACGTGGTGCAATCTGTTGAGATGGTCTACTAACTAGTAACTAATGACAATATTATGTATTAGCTGATAAATCAATCAGCTGTTTGCTATGGTACTGCGTTAATTTTAATTAATATTTAACCCAAAACACTAGTACCCTCTGGTGAGATGGTCCTGAACTTTATCTATTTTCTTGGCTTCAAATTTTTACATTACATGGAAAGTCTAATAGTCAATGGTAGAACACTAAGAAGACAAAATTATTTCCTAAAATACCGGTACTGATAAACTTGGAAAAAATTATTTTCCAAATCGACGAGATCACTGTGTTGTCACTGGAAGATTTGGAACTTCAGTGTAAACATAGAGTATGTGAGAACAAGAAATGGAAATTTATCGGTAGTGTGGACAGTCAACAAGTGGTTCCGATATTATTGATTGCAACAAGAGCTGATGTCAATGAAGCTAGTGAGGCGGCGCTCTACACTCTACAGGTGAACATCACGTGGTTGTTATGAGTCCTTGGAGCCTAGACGTTCTAGGCCCTAACTCATAAACAATTTAAAAAATACAAAGAAAATTTATAATCTCACAGTGCACTAGATATTTAAATTGCAATTACTTCGGCATGTGAACAAATATTTTGAGATGGTAAATAACTCTTCAGTGCCAGTTTGAAATTGATGAAATTAACATTGCTCTTGGCGGACAAATCCAAGAAGGTTGTTAGCTCCCTTGGACCATAGACTAACCAACACAAGTAGACTTCTCATCCCATTGTAAATTTTGAAGCTCGTTTTTCATGTCTAGTTCATGTACGCCACACTAGGTGCTAGTGTCGACGAAATTTTGTTTCTATTATTTTAGGGTCAATTTCTTGATTTGTGCTTTACTGTTTGGTTATATAACTAGGGGACAGGTTATTGTTTATGATTAGATCGTATTATTTGGTTAAACGAGGTTTTAAATGGCTGTAATAACGGGAAACAAATTGTAAACAAAACACGACCTCTACAGAAAACCGTACAGAACTAACAATAAAATTGTATTCAACTGTTCCATAAGGATGAGAAATCTACTAAGGGAGTATGTTTTATCATAGATAAAACATACTCCCTTAGTAGATTTCTCATCCTTATGGAACAGCTGAAGACAATTTTATTGTTAGTTCATGTACGGTTTATGTAGAGGTCGTGTTTTGTTTACAATTTGTTTCCCGTTATTACAGCCATTTAAAACCTCGTTTAACCAAATAATACGATCTAATCATAAACAATAACTTGTCCCCTAGTTATATAACCAAACAGTAAAGCAGAAATCAAGAAATTAACCCTAAAATAGTTGAAACAAAGTTTCATCGACACTAGCGCCTTTGTGTCACGTACATGAACTAGACACGAAAAACGTGCTTCAAAATTTACAATGGGATGAGAAGTCTAGTTTTATCTATGCTTGGACTCACTTGGGAAACAATTCAAAACTACATAGACAATTTTTTAGCCTTACAGTGTACCAGAAATTTAAATCATAACCACTTTGGTGCTTGAAAAAATATTTTTGGATGATAAATAACTCTTCAGCAGCTGTTTGAAATCATCCAAGATGGCTGTTAGCCTCCAAGGACTCTTAAGCTTAAGTATTGATTCATGTGTCATCATTTAGAAAATTGTGTTCGGGAATATTGAGTGGTCTATTCTAGGAATTACATAATGGTTACTCTCTGAGGCAGACAAACATTAATTGGAGTCTATTTGATTATCAAAACAGGAACTGATTTTAATCTCTTCCTTAAGAAATTGTTGTACCAATAGGTTTTCTTAACTACTATGTGGATTTATCGGTAAATAATTAGATATTTCAAATGGTTAACTTATTTCAATTATTTATTTGAAAATAGCAGCATGAAGTTTCGTGGATAAATACTATCGTGTTTTAGCCTGTATTATTTCAACAGTAATAGCTCACCTGGGTCATTTCATTTCACCGAGTCTTGGTATTAATAAAAACAATTCAAAATTGATTTAGTTGTAGGTAAAGACGTTAAGATATTTGAGAGACTTGGAAAAGTTTAACTATACACCTACTGTGTGTTTCATCTTAGAATAAAAAATACAGAAAACAGAAGAACGCATTTTCAAAATTATTGTACTTGTGCTCTGTCGACAAATAGAGTTCTTTGTCATTCAGAGTATTGCTTATGTATGTAATGTACAGTATGCCTAAGTATTTCGCCTATAACACCAGAGGGCTAGAAAATGTTCAATAATAGTGACCCGTCGCCGGAAAAACTATCAAATTCCCAAGCGATCGATCTAATGATCATACGCAATAATAAGGCCAAGGTCGGGGGAGCCTTGTGGTGATCAATTTTGCAATTAACTTTGACCAACGCACACGCACGCACACACACGCATGATGGCTTGTTATCTGATAACGACAGCCACATGAAGTCAATCACATGGGAGTCAACTTTATATCGTTGACTACGCACAATTGTATTGACCACATGCAATGCTCAGCATACGAAAATCTGGTCTTTCGCAGAAGATCCCCGCACTTCCCTAATGTTATACAAAAAGGTGCGATGAGACAAAGTTTGATTTGAAGGACAAGGATTATTTAAACGATGTTGAGTAATATGACGACAAACCAATCGTTATCACCACCTGTCTGTCGCCGTAATCTACCAGATGTAGCCAACGTGATGTTTTGATGTTGCATCTACTGTACTTCCGACAGTAAATTCTCATCTCACAGATTTTTAGGTTTATTAAATTTGCATCATATTCGTTTAGTTTTAAGAAAGGGATTGCAAATCTCTAAACTTTCCAACCTTCCAATTGAAACAAAGACAATTTAGTGTAAACATAGATTAAAAATGCCACTGAACTTTATCCTTTATACTTGTGGATATATTAAAGACAACGTAAAGTACGAGTTCCGATTCAGTACACTTAGTAGATTATGGTGTTACTACTCATTTTTATAATCTCACCAACTTTAACACTATTTCAAATTTCAACCAAACAAAAATATTTCATTTAACGATTTTTTCAAATGTTTCTGACTATAATTTACTCAGGTTGAGAATGGAAATAAACAATTTCACAACTTACAGTGCGCAAAATTGAATTTTCCATCTCTTCGCGTAAAAAATGAGGTAAAATTAAAACTGCCAAAAACGCAAAAACGCATTTCTCAAACTACTGTAATTAGTTTACAACGGATTCAGTGGTATGGATGATACTTAAGGCAGCTTCACGTACTTGAGCAGTGATGAATGCATTACGAGTTGGTTAGGCTGCATCACAGCGATAACGATGTTGGTAACGATTTACATCATTAGGTACTGCATTACCTCTACCAGCTACTTTACAACACGTGCTTTTTCATTGTTTACGCCTATGACATTTTCCAAAAGGTGTATAGGAGGTACACAAACACTTTTTGGAAATGCGCTCCAATGCAAACCCATGTGATTTGAACTCGTCCCTCTCAAACTGTAGTCCGATGCGCTAGGCTACACACCCTTTACAAAATACATACTTTCACAAAATATCAGGACTGAATTCACACAAGTAAAACATAAAATGATTAAAAAAAAAATATTATGTAGGTTATTCTGACCCCTCGACTTGATGTTAATGTTGTCGAAACCTGTCAGGTAAATTCCTCGAATCCTTTCCAAATGGCCTAGTAGGTTAACACCTCCATATCTACCGATGACAACGAACCCAAGATACCTCGGCAATGATGGATGACTTGTCCAATATAACAACTAATGGAACTAAACTGGCGTCGAGCCTAAGAAAATTCCTTACAGTAATATTTCTGAGCTTAAATATCGAATCTAAACTTCCATAAGTCATGTTTAATTTTTTTCCTATTTGGCTTTTTTATGGTTATAAGTGCCATTACTGAAGGTCATATTTATGTAAATTGTAGTGTGATAGTAACTCGTTTTGTCGTTATCATAAACTAAACTGATCTAAAATAACCTATCCTAAACTCCGCAGCCCAATGTAAATACCCCCGCCGCAGCACAAACTTGCAGACTAAGCCAATTTCCATTTGCCTGATTGGATTTACACTAAAATGTCACTTAAAAAATAACATTTATTCCCGATTTAAATAGAATTAGTTTAACAAGTACTTAGGTTTGCTGCATCAGGGAGGGTAAAACTGTTTTTTTTATGTTAATAGTTAGTAAGAAATAAAAACATTTTCCAAATTTGATCAAAATATGTTCATAAACGAGCAAACTACAACAGTTTACTTGTTCTCCATAAGAATAACATACGAATTTTAAAATTTACATTTTTTTTTTAATTTTCTCCGTAAACATTTGGCGCATAATAACGCATCAATATACTAAATTATTTGTTTTTCAAGCTCTACAAAATGGTTTGGAAATAAGTTGCTAAATTTTATGTTTTATGGGTCAAAATGGGAAAACCCTATTTTTACCCCATAAAACCATGCTGGTTCGCGAACTCGTTCGAATAAATGTAGGTTTACACGTTTATACCAAATTTCATCAAAATCGGATCATTTTTGTTCGAGTTATCGTGCTAACGGACACACACACACACACACACACACACACACACACACACACACACACATATATATATATATGAATTTGAACGGATGGTGTTTTTGGCCTCTGGGGACCTCAAAACAAAAGAATCTGTCCCGCGTCCAGGTCTTACTATGAGTACTACGGTAATAGCTTATTCCCTATAAGGGAAATTCGCTAAAAACAAAAAAAAAAACGGTACCTTTTAATATAACAGCAAAAATATTCAATACAC